TGCGGTCGGAGGTGCCCGGGCAGCCAGCAAGCAGGGCTTTGCCTGCCGCGTCGGCCAGCAGCTGCTGACCTCAGTAGGACTCCGATCATGGAGGCGCGGACCGTTAAAGGTTCATAAGAACCAGAGCTAAGTGGCTGCAAAGATACTGACAGCCTCCCTGGAAACTCACTTTCCAATGAGCTGCTGCATCCCCTCCTCCTGTAATTAGCAGGAGGGAGCTGGACAAGTTGTTACAACTGCAGGGAAAAACGATAAAAGATGGCTTTGTATTAGTGTGGCAAATTTTATTAAACCGAGAGAAAGGCGAACTGAGACATGACAGCGAGTGTGTAGTGCCTCCTGAATTTGTAATAACCCCATCTTGCTCTGAATCATCCCTGCGTTGGCAAACGGAATATAAAGCATTGAACAGATCCAGTGTTGTAAGAGGAACAACAGAGAACAATCGAATGCCCGGGGACAGGTAGGGGAAGAGGGTCTCCAGCCCAGAGCAGCAGTCACCGGTTGATGAGCAGAAATATAGGGTCTGGCCTAAGGCTTTGTCTCCTGAATAACTCCCCCCCACCCCTTTTTTCCTATGTCCCTGTCTTTTCACTTATAATTCAGAGGTACTATCTGGCCACAAGAGAAAACTTAACTAATAGCATATTAGTTTGCAGGAAACCGACAAAGCCATGTTTTCCTAAAGGGAGGAAAAGGTGAGACAGGAAATCTAAGAGAAAGAACTGAGCCACATGGCGGATCTGAGCCTTAAGAGCTCTTTGGTGCCCAAGCAGGAAGGGGGTGATTTTATGTTTACTCTGCATTGGCTGTGATGCAGGTAGCTGTCATTATTTTGATGATAGAGATCTGAGCCAGGCTTGGAGAGGTTAAGTCCAGGGTCTAGTGAATGGCAGCCTGGATCTGTACTTTGATCTCTCTGCTTCTAAAGCCTATGCTTTGCCTTTTACCCTAGGCCTTAGATTTTAGTTGACAAATGAGAAGGGAAAAACATTCTTCATTTGTAGAGGCCATTTCGTGAGGAATTGTAACCCTTGAGCTCTAAGGGGTTTCGAGAGATTTTCTGATGAAGGTGAGATATTGTCTCCTCTGTTTTTCAGAGGAAGTCACTGGGGCCCAGAGATGTTAAGCAGGGTGATCCAGCTAGGAAGTGACTGAGAGAGGAGTCCAGACCTCACATCCCTTCCAGCTAAGTCTTGGATGTCAGATAAATCCATGCTGTGTTAAAACAGAGTCTACTTGGGATAATCACAAACTAATTTGTGGACTGGTCAGGTCAACATATGATGTGGTTTTAGACCTTCCAGAGTTGGAATAAAGAAGGTGCTTGGAATGTCCGTGGGTTTCCCAGGTGGCTCAGCAGTAAAGAATCCACCTGCCAATGAAGGAGGCATGGGTTTGATCCCTGGGTTGGGAGGATCTTATGAAGTAGGAAATGGCACCCCTTTCCAGTGTTCTTACCTGAGAAATCCCGTGGACAGAGGACCGTGGCGGGCCTTTGTCCAGGGGGTTGCAAAGAGTCAGACACAACTCAGCTCCCTTGTGTGCCCTTAGAATGTATATCACAAACTATTCCAACAACATGCAAACTTTTTTTTGACTTTAGGTTCAGTTTTTTTTTTTTTAGATTTAGTTTTTTACAATAAAATAGAAGGGAGATACAGATATTTCCCACATACCCCTTGCTCCCACACATGTATAGTGTCCCCCATTATCAACATCACTACCATCAGCATCATTGGAATGGTGCACTTGTTTCCAAGGATGCACCTACACTGACACTATAATTACCCATAGATGCATGGTTTCCCTACGGGTTCCCTCTTGGTACTGTACATTAATGGGTCTGGACAAATGTATAATGGCATATATCCATCACTACAGTATCCAGCAGAGTACTTTAACTGCCCTGAACATCCTCTGTGCTCTGCCTACTCATCTCTCCCCCCATCAACACCCCTGGAAACTGATCTTTTCATCATCTCCATATTTCTGCTTTTTTAGGTTCAATTTTCTGAATGGGAGATGATAGAGTTAAGTGGATTCATCACTGGTTGAGCGGTTACTTGGTTGGTGTCACCTAGAAGGGAGTTCCTGGGAGCATGTATCAGGGCTTTGTCCTTGTTCTTTCCCACTGCAGTGTTTGTGATGTGTTGATGTTGGAATTAAGACTCACAAAGCTCTCAGAAGGATGGGAGAGGGGCTTGAGAGGGCATTTCTATGGAGGTTAGCAGAACTATAGGTGGGGAACGGACTCTTGGACACATAATTGAAAGCCTTGCCTGCCAGGCCTGCAAGAGAGTCTGCGGAGTGGCTGGCTGGCTCTTCTTGAGCAGAGGAAGAGGCTGATGACGTGAGGGTCTCCAGGACAGAGAGCCCATGTTCTCCTCCAAGACCCTAGTACCTGGTACCAGATGGTCACCTGATGTCACGGGAGGAGTTTCCTGGCATGCCACACTGTTGGGCTTTTCATGGGTCATCTATCACTCTGTCTGCCACAAGGCAGATATGAACCCCTAACACCCCATATGAATGGTTGTCTGGCCCCATAAACTCTGCAGGAGATGCAATCAAATGTTGCTCACTTCCCGGCAGTGAGACTGGTCCTCCTGGGGTCCAGCCTGACTTCTCACTGCTGCTTCTCCCTTCTCTGCTGTCCTCAGAAGAGACAGATGTACACCTCCATCTTCCCCATCACTCTTCCTTGATGTGAAGGCTGGCGTTTCAGTCTCACCTCTCCTCTCACTCAAGTTCTTGCTGCCAAAGACAAACTGGACCCTCGGAAGGGTTCACACCCCACTCAGGAGTGATTGACGTGTCTGCCTCCTCAGCGTGGAGTAGAAATGAGCAGAGCACTTCTGTTCAAAAGCAGGAGACAAAAATATGTAATACAACCCCAGGCTCCAGTTTGGGTTTGCAAAGTGGAAAACAAAACAGAACCATTTTCCAGGTACTTTTATGTTATTGCCTCTATAATGTGCCCAAAAATATTTTCTGAGTGATTCATCTACAATCCAATAAGAACAACGGCTGTTGCCATTTGTATGAGAGGAACAGAGGCGCGTTCGTGAGCGGTTTTATTTTACCGAGGGGAAATGGCACAGGTGTTTGGAACCATTTGCCCGAGGCATGGAGATCTGTGCCCAGGGCGTCGGCAGCTCCAGGTGGGACAGCCCACACCACTGCAGGGAAGAGGAGAGACCTACCAGGCAACTCCCCGTGGTTACCATGGGAAAGGGCTACCGGCAGCTGAGGCTTTTAACTTCATGCACTCATCTGCTGCCACTATCTTTAAAGATCTCTATTTTGTCTGCTAATTAAAAAAAATTCGTATGGGGGTGGGGTGCGAAAGAAGTTCAGGAGCAAAAGGATATATGATGCATATAACTGATTCCCCTGGAGGAGGGCATGGTAACCCATTTCAGTATTCTTGCCTGGAGAATCCCCATGGACAGAGGAGTGGCAGGCTACAGTCCATGGGTTCGCAAAGAGTCAGACACGACGGAGTGATTAAGCACAGTAGCTGATTCACTTCACTGTACAGCAGAAAGTAACACAACATTGTAAAGCAGTTATATGCCAATAAAAAAAGAAAAAGACATTAAAAAATTAAAATTTATAGTAATCATTCATATTTCTAAGTTTTTGCAATGCTGCCTTCTATTCATCTCTGTCTTGATCCTGATAAGCACTCTGGGTTTGGAGCAGGCACTGCAGCCCCCATTTTATAGATGAGGATCCTGACATTTTGGGATGTTTACTGCTTTGTTCAAAATTAAGAGACTGCCCATCTCTTGTTCTTCTATTCTCCAGATAGAGTGCCCCCTTGTAAATGTCAGGGATTTTGTGTTGCGTTCTGATTTGGGGGAAGAGATGGGAGCTGCCATAACGGGTCTTACGGCCAAGTGTCAGTCACTTAGAGAAGAAGAGGGTCATTGGCCGGGAAACAGGAGTGGCTGGGAGGGCCCCAGGGTGCCAGGGGCGAAGCTCTCGGCCCTACTCTTGTGAGTATACACTTGGAGGGGGAGTCTGGGCGTAGGGAAAAGTGCTGTCTCCTCATGGGCAGGCAGGGTCTAGGTAGGAAGGGTGAACTGGGAACCCCGGAGAGGGTCGACCATACCAGTAAAAGCCAGGTTCCTTGTTCCTTTCCCTTTTGTATTTCCAGGCTGTTAGAAAAGTCTTATTTAATCATTCCAGTCTCATTAGTTGTGTTTCTTGAGAGGAAAGTAGAGGACCTGTGTCCACAGCAAAGCATTATTTGACCACCTTGTTGGTGTCAGCATCATGAGTGAGACAGTCCTTCCTCCCAGGACAAGATGAAGCTTGGGTGACAAGGGTCGGGGTAGAAGGTGCCTGCTGCCTGGCCTCACTGGAGAGCATCCCTGCACAGCCAGCACTGGAGGGTCAGGGTTTGAGGATTTTGAAAACTAATTGTACACAACAATGTGAGTATACTTAACACTACTGAACTGTATGCTTAAAAACACTTAAGATGGTAAAGTTTATGTTTTGTGTATTTTACCATAATGAAAAATAACTGATTGTAATCACTGCTCATAGTTCATAGGTCAAATAATATTAAAAGACTTATGATAATAAATATTACTTCTTGGCCCTTAATGGCCCTTGTCCCATAGCTTCCCTTCCGAGAAGTAATGGCTTTCAACTTTTCACTTGTTTCTTCTGACGTTTAGGTATCGTCATAGTTCTAAATAATATATATGTATTGTTATAGTTTAATGCATTGATTATATTATCAGTTGACTATTTGTGGTAATGAGGATTTAGCTCTCTCACACTGCCTTCCCCTCTGATTCTGATATATATAGTGCATTCAAATTTTAGTCACATCAGTATTGGGGATTTATTGATACATTGTTACACCCATTTGAATAATATTTACAACTGACTGCTTTATTACGGTTATGCTTCTTTTTTTCCCTCTGGTTAGTAACTGCTTTGGTTGCTTAACTTTTTGGCTTTAATTTTCTTTGTATCTACTAATAGCCTCTCAAAATAGTTTTCCTCCAGATTACTCTCATCAGGTAATGCATCAGTTTCAGCAGGTTTCTCAGAAACTGCTCCTGCACACCTCTGTTCTGTCTGGGCAGCTCATTCCCAGGCCTGCAGCCACGTGCCGTGTTATCCCGGGATCTCCCTCTGCTCTGGTCCTGAGAATGCCCTTTGCCCTTCTGTGATTTGCGTTCTCTATTTCTAGGATCCTGCATCTTCTTCTTTTTTGGTTTGCTCCATTGTTTTTGTTTTTTCCTCCGTTGTTTTGATGGAGCACATTCTCCAGGAGTTTTCTCAGGTTTGAAACGTGTGCAGTGTCCAGGGGCGTGGTGATGGCAGCCTGCCGGGTGGCACTGTACGCCCTGGACTGGGGCCTTCCGCAGCTGGTGCATGGCGGCCCCTCTTCCTCCTGTTTCCTGTGATCCTCCTCCATCTTGCTGGAGGATTTTGAGTTTAGGAAGGCTGGTTGGTGGTGGGGCCCTTGTATATGTCACACTAGTAGGTGGCAGAACTGTGACTTGGACCCAGATCTACTGGTCCAAATCCGGTGCCCTTCCTCCCTCTGAGCACAGATCCTCTCCTACCGTGGCCACGAGCAGGGCTCCCTGGCCTCAGCTGGCCTCACTCACAGCCTCACCTTTCCTCCTCTTCCTCCCTAGCCAGCCCCATTGTTGATGTCTGTCTCCAGAACACCTTTGCTTAGACCCTGTCAAGGACCTGGTCTCCCAGGGGACCCCAGGGTCTGTGCGGTGACCTGGACATTTTATACCTTTCTGGGTGGCCAGGCTACTTGAAGGCGGGGAACATGGTTTGTAAGGATCACTGTCCCCTTGTTTTGCCTGTTGCACACTCGCTCTGCTTGTACCACATTCCCCTTTAAAAAAAAATTAGCTATTATCTAAATATTGTATTACTTTCAAGGTATACATCTTCAGATTATTTTTCATTATAGGCTATGTCAAGATACTGGATATAGTTCCTTGTGCTATGCAGCAAATCCTTGTTTACCTATTTTATATGTAGTGATGTAAATCTGTTAATCCCAGCCTCCTAATTTATCCCTCCCCCTTGCTCGTGCCCCATTGTATTGGCAGGAAGTCAGTGAAGGGATCCCCTCTTCAACATGTCTTCTAGCCTTTACCTGGAAGAATTCAGACCTGAATCTTGCAGGTGAAGGAGCAGAGATCATGGGAGGGAGTCAGGCTCTTCTGAAGCCCATTGTAACTCTGTAGGTAAGAGTGTGTTGAGATGGTGAACAGGGCGGGAGTGCCGTCTGCTTTGCAGGCTGTCTCTGGGAGGACTTGCTGGGCTTGCTTTAAGATGGAGGCTTCCTCCTTACCCTGTCCCTTCTGTCCCTCTTTCAGTCCCTGCCTATAGCAGTGCCTTTCTTGGGATATTTCCCAGGCTAAGTGGAAGCAAGATGGCAGTTCATGGCAGGAATCTTGCATAAATAAAAATCCACAGATAACTCCCAAGAAGCCTGGCTGTAACCATCAGTTTCAATCTTCTTACCCACCAAACCTTTCCCAGAGCTGCTGCATGGAGCAAGACTGAATGATCCGTGTCTTTCCTCTTTTCATCCCCTCTGCTCCTTCCTTCTGCTCCTGAATGAGGTACAAATTAGCAATGAAATGACCCAAGTAAGGCCATTAAATGTTGTGTGAGAAGATGGAAAAGCAAGAGGCTTCAGTCATCCATAATTAAATAATCAGGCTCATAGCCCAGGGAAGGTGACTATTTACTCATTCATTTACACAGTAGTCTTTTATTCATCTAATAAAATTTGAGACTCTGGCTTTATAAAAGCCCAGTGTCTTTCAATTTGAGGTATTTAAAGTGTATTTAAAGCAAACTGACCCTTGGTGGATTGTAATTACCCTGAGGTCATGAATTTTTTATTGGTTTTGCTGATTCCGTATGGGGTCCCCTGGGTTCACGGTTTGGGCTGAAGGACAGGCAGCTGCTGGGAGCCATAGCCCCGTAAATGTCTGTTGTTGACGACACTGGTGCTTGATCAATAAAGCTAATACTGCCATTGTCATCAGGAAATAAATCTGTAATCATGTGTGTGAGAATTTCCCCTTGAATGTGCTTCTGAGGGTGCTCAATCAGATTTTTTATGGTTTCCAAGAGCTGGGCCTGATGAAAAAGGCCTTGGCAATCTATCACTTAGGAGAAGTTGAGCAGAAAACAGGAAGTCACTGAGTTAGTCCAGTGTCCTCCCCCCAACATCCCGAAGCTGCGGGGGACCCCAGACCCCGGCTCAGTGCCCCTCAGCTGTGCCTTGTGGGTCTTTGGCACCCAGCTCAAGTCTTTTCTCTCTGGGTGGAGGAAGAGGTGCACGTGGGGATGGAAAGTTGGAATTGGAGCCTGTGGGACTCAGAGAGTGGTCATGAGCAAGTCTGTAAGAGGACAGAGCAGGACAGCAAAGAGGAGTGGGGTGAGGCTGCATGGGGAGTCAGTGGGCCCTGGTCCTGCCACCACACATGGTGTGTGGATGGCCCTGAGCTGGGAGCCAGGCAACCACCGAGGCCTGGGGCCTGGGGCTCAAGACCCTCTCCCAGCGCCTTATATCTGGAGATGGCTAAGCCTGACCTCCCAGTCTGGCCTCTCCATGGGGCCCAGACAGAAGGTGGCTGAGGGCCAGGCCTTGAGACTCCTGCTGACTCATCTCTGTTGGTTCATCGAGTGGGAGCTGCTGCCCTGGGAGGGCCTTACAGCCCTGAGAACGTCTCTTAACAAATCCTGTCACCTCCAGGGCCAGCACCGGTGCCTCTGGGGCCAGCTGGGGAATGTGAGGTGCCTTCTTTCCAGCTTATCACAAGCTTTTCATGAGCATGAACATGCCCCAGCATGTACCCAGTGTGCAGTAGGGGCTCTATAAATGCCGTATGAATTGAACAGTAGCCACGCGGTGTGACTGTCCCTGAATGGGCAGGGGACAGTGCTGGGAACAGCATCCAAGACTCAGCTGCTCAGGAGGATGGACCTCTGTGGCCAGAGGTCTTCTCCCAAAGAGGGGATGATGGAGGGATGATAATAATAATAGTAGTAGTAGGAACGTCTCTGATGGTCCAGTGGTTGAGATTCCTTCTGCCAAGGCAGGGGACACTGGTTTGATCCCTGGTCTGGGAAGATTCCACTTGCGTAAGCCCATGCAGTGTGCTTCAGAGCAGTGCTACTAGAGCCCATGCTCCACAGCAAGAGAAGCCACTGCAATGGGAAGCCCGCAGACAGCAAGGAAGATACAAAAGAAATAAATATTTTTTTAAAAACAACAAAAATAGTAGTAGTAATAGTTGTTATTGTTCAGTTGCTCAATCACATCTAGCTCTTTGCGATCCCATGGACTCAGCACGCCAGGTTTCCTGGTTCTTCACAGAAGCAGCAGTTAGAACCAGACATGGAACAACAGACTGGTTCAAAAGTGGGAATGGAGTGTCAAGGCTGTGTATTGTCACCCTGGTTATGTAACTTATATGCAGAGTGCATCATGCAAAATAATGGCTGGGATCAAGACTGCTGGGAGAAATATCAATAACTACAGATATGCAGATGATACCACTTCAATGGCAGAAAGCAAAGAACAACTAAAGTAGTAATGGTGATAATAGCAAACACTTATACTGGGCACCAGACCAGGTAGAACATCTTTGTATGTTATCTACTTAATTCTCACAACAACCCTATAAGGCAGGCATTCTTTTTTTTTTTCACTTAAAATTAAAAAACAAATTTTTTTAATAGTTTTGACTGCACTGGGTCTTCCATGCTGCGTGAAGACTTTCTGTAGTTGCAGTGAGTGAGCTTCTCATTGCAGTAGCATCTCTTGTTGTGGAGCCTTGGCTCTAGACACACGGCTTCAGTAGTTGTGGCACGTGGGGTCTAGAGCGTGGGTTTTAGTAGTTGTGACACATGAGCTTATGTGCATGTGTAATCTTCCTGGAACAGGGGTCAAACCTGTGTCCCCTGCATTGGCAGGTGATTCTTAACCATCGGACCACCAGGGAAGACTGAGGCAGGCATTCTTACTATTCTCATTTTACCAATGAGGACGTGGTGGCACCTGGCTTCCTGCTGCACTTTCCTCAGGTCCCAGTTTGAATTCTCCTCCCCTTGGGGAGGCTGTAGCACTTTACCTCCCTCTCGCTGCATTTCTTGCTCTTGCTCCTCTTGGCTGTTTGCTTCCCTAGGACAGTGAGCTCCGTCAGGTCAGGGCTGTGCCTGCCTTGCTCATAGGGAACCCCTGGTACTTGGCCCAAAGGTGGTGTGGAGTAGACACTCAGTGAATGTTTTTGAATGAATGAACAGACACGTTCTGAGAGCATCACTTGCTGACCATGAAGAAGTCTATCAATCAGTCTGCAGGGAGCGGGGCTCTATCCTCTGGGTCTCCCTGCAATGCCCACTGAGCAGAGGGGTGTCCCAGAAACCAGCCCCTCTATTTAACATATGTTTATTGTTGTTCAGTGGCTAAGTCATGTCCAACTCTTTGTGACCCCATGAACTGTAGCATGCCAGACTTCCCTGTCCTTCACTAACTTCCTGAGTTTGCTCAAATTCATGTCCATTGAGTCAGTGATGCCGTCTAGCCATCTCGTCCTCTGTGACCCCCTTCTCCTCTTGCCCTCAGTCTTTCCCAGCATCAGGGTCTTTTCCAATGAGTTGGCTCTTTGCATCAAGTGGTCAAAGTATTGGAGTTTCTGCTTCAGCATCAGTCCTTCCAATGAATATTCAGGGTTGACTTCTTCTAAGATTGACTGGTTTGATCTTCTTGCTGTCCAAGGGACTCTCAAGAATCTTCTCCAGCACTACAATTCGAAAGTATACATTCTTCAGTGCTCAGCTTTCTTTATGGTCCAAATCTCACATTCATAAATAACTACTGGAGAAACCATAGCTTTGACTATATGAACCTTTGTTGGCAAAGTCATGTCTCTGCTTTTTAATACACTATCTACATTTACCATAGCTTTTCCTCCAAGGAGCAAGCATCTTTTAATTTCATCACTGTAGTCACCATCTGCAGTGATTTTGTAGCCCAAGAAAATAAAATCTGTCACCGTTTCTCCTTTCCCCCATCTATTATGTTTACTGAGCACCTACTATATGCCCAGGTCTATACTAAGTGACAGGGAGGAGGCCCGTGACCTCAAGGAGTTTCCAGTTTCTCTTGCCAAGAAATCCCTTCATTTGAATTTCGCCTAAAGCTCTCCTGTGTTTTTCCTCAGCCGCTCCTGCTTTGCCCTCTAGGAGTCCTGGGAAGGGGGAAACAGGTGTCTTGCTCAGGAACCTTTTCCACTTCAGAGAGCCCCGCCACACCCAGCATCCCTCAGGTAGACTAACTGAGTTGATTCAATTATGCATGTTAATGCTGGGATCTGTCGCTCCC